GCGTCCTGCAGGAACAGAGGTATACTGTACTGTGTTAGTGTATAGTCATTAAAAATCGTCATAGATCCAAATTGTTTCAGCCTGTATATAAACGATGCAGGTATATAGTGATAAACTGTAAGTCGATTTAATCTAAGAATACTCCCAGAAAGCTGTCAGAAGATTAGCCCCATCAGGTAGTGGAGCCATAAAGGCGGGAGATGACACTATCCTGTACTAAACGATCAGACATTTTTAGTAGTGATTTCAAACATTGTATCTACCTGATAAATACACTCGTTTAGCGGAATAAATACCTGAAAACACACTCTTTTTTTTAGCGGAATATTAATTAAATTATCATGTAAATGGCCACCCCACCTACTAATCAGTCTTAATTAGTTTCCCCTGGACCAGCGTGCAGGTGAGGTGGTGGTTTAGAAAAGCCTCCCAGCCACACTAAGGAGACGTTTTCTCTGTTGAACCAATGCAAGTCCCTACAGCCCTACCAACGCCATTTTAAAATTATTTAGGTCTGTGTAACATTATTAATTTATAAACGCTAGTCATATAAATAAACTAAATTATTCTCATTACAAGAGATAAATAAATAAACAAACAAACACATAATATGTTTACTTGCCGTTTTAAAACTCTGCTCTTGAGTTTCGTCATATTTTCCTTGATGTGAATTTTTTGTCACTTAAAACAATATTCTCACTCCCGGAGCTTCTCAGACAACAATATTCGTGTCGTCTGGATATTCGTGAATACACCTGTGAGTCTTCAAGAAGAGAAGTTGTCTGCTAAGAATACAGTACTTGTTATCACAGGAACCAGAGCTCTACTGCGTGCACACAGACTAATTTTGGGAAAAGTTTCCTCCTACAGTGTTCACCAGTACAGTGCACGAGTATACAATATATAGACAATATTTCCTGCTTTACTTAAGTCACTGCCTGTGATCTTAGGATGAACCAGAATTTCCCTGAATATATATCGACAATATATACCTAGATTTTGCCAAGGCTTTCGACAGTGTACCCCACGAAAGGCTGAAAATCAAACTGGAAGGGTACGGAATTCGGGGAAATGTCCGCGTGGATAGAAGACAATCTACATGACCACAAGCAGTGTGTGGTGATAATGGCACGAAATCATCATCTGTACCTGTCACAGGGCAGTGTATTGGGCCTGCTGTTGTTTGTTTGTTTCATAAATGACATGCCTGACGTTGTACACTCCTCCATACAATTGTTTGCCGATGACGCCAAGTTATTTCAGGAAAGCAAGAACCAAGCGGACTGTGAAGAGCTACAGAAGGACCTCTGTGGGCTCCAAGAATGGTCTAAGAAATGGCTGCTGAGATTCAATGTCACGAAGTGTAAGAGGATGCACCTGGGGCGTACCAACGGTAAGGAGGCGTATCATATGTCCCAACGGGATGAAGAAACTGCACTATTTGAGACTGAATATGAAAAGGACCTAGGTGTGTATGTTGACAATGAGCTGAAGGTAAATCAGGCAAATAAATTATTGGGTCTTATAAGAAGGTCGTTCAGATATCTAGACGGTCCGTCCCTCGTAACGATCTTCAGGAGTGAAGTGCTTCCCCATCTGGAGTACTGTCACCCCGTCTGGTCCCCGAGATATGCTAAGGACTGTCAGTTGGTTGAAAATGTTCAAAGGAGGGCCACCAGACTGGTGCCTGCACTTTGGCACCTCAACTACCCTGAGAGATTGGAGCGCCTGAACTTGCCTAGCTTACACTACAGACGGGCAAGGGGTGACCTAATTGAGGTGTATAAGCATCTCAAGGGGCACCACTCAGTCGAGTGTCCTTACTTGGAGCTGGCGGACGCTCGCCCCACAAGGGGTCACAGCTCAAGATTGAAGAAGCTGCAGGTCCAGAAAACTGCGAGGGCAAACTTTTTCGGAGTGAGAGTTGTGAACTCTTGGAACAATCTACCAGAAAGTGTTGTGACGGCACCGAGTGTGAGCTCTTTCAAGACCAGACTTAACCAACACTGGAGCAGGTTCAGGTACATTCAGGAGCCGGTGCATGCCCAGTACTTGCCAACAGTGCGTAACAGAGACGTGACCGATCGCCCAAGCGGCTAGCGAGCCGATCAGTGGTGATGAGGATAAAAGTAGATACTGAAGAAGAAATATCAACAATAACATAGTTTATAAATAAATGTTAAAGAGAATGTTGAAGGCGAGTCGTTTTCTCTCGGTATGACTGGGGCAACTATACTATTTTATTAATTCCTCTGACTATTAAACAGAATATTAGTGTATATAAAGTAAGTGGTCGGTTCTAAGAGACGTTAAATATTAACAGTTCTCGATCTGCTTATAATGTGTATAATTTTTCATTGTTCTTGGGTGAAGGAGTCTGAAGAAAAATATGATTAATTATATTTATAAATTAGTTCTCTATATTAGGGGATTTTTCACATATTGTATTATTTAACATATTTTGCTATACATTATATATATATAAAACATTATAATTACCATATGAGTCATTGAGTTACCTCCAGTATTGTATATTTTTCATGTAAGTGCCTCTGTATCATATATTTAAGAAAAAACTGTTTATGTGCCATATCTATATTAAACGTATTTTTGTCAAGTGGTACATTTACTAATACGTCACAGGTATAGTACAGGTTAAAACACGTCTCTTTGTATTGAACACACAGGGGCCAGGCTAAATATTATGTTAAAAAAGTCCACGAACAAAACGAACACTGAAATATGTATTATTTTCAGTTACCGTTAACCAAACATAGCTTAAATAATACAAATTATTTTAGGGTGGTAAGGTTACTTAAATAAACTTAATAATTTAAAGTTAGATTACGTTAGTGATTTAAATTTTCATTCAAACAAATAGATACATGAGGAAATAGGATGCTTAGCGAGTCTGTTAGTCATCCTTTTCAAATACTGGTTGTGTTAATTTCCTCTATTCAGCTTTATTCAAGTTTATAAGTTAATAAAGAAATGAGTGTAGTGGTCCCGCTGGTGGAGGTTCGCTCGGCTGTCCTTGCGTCAGCTGGAGACATTGAATGTTTTGGTGGAGTTGGTAGACTCGCTGCGGCCACCTCACCCTCAAGTGTTCCCCCGTGGTGACCTGCGCCAGCTAGTGTGAGAGCCTTTACAGTTTGTGCAAGATGGCTGAACCACAACAAATGGACTTGGACATCGACATATCCTATAATTCTGACGATGACGACGTGGTAATCATCGAGGATACTCCCACGGCGACCGAGTATGTACCGACTGTGTGTTTGGTAGTAGTGTAGTGTTGTAGGTGTTGACTGAGGTGTTTAAAACTCTAAGGAAGGTTGAGTCTACGGGATCTCGATCGATCACTCTACTCTTATCCTCGTGTTTCCCTGAAGATGAGGGTACTAATGGCTGAGACACACACTCCCTCATACACACATCAAGTACAGTGTTTAATGCGTCCAATTTGTGCTCTGTAAACTACTATATTACTTTCTGTGGGGGAAAGCAGTTTGAGGAATATTCTAGAATGTGTTGTGTTTGATCACTGTTACACCTCAGAGGCCCCGATAACAACGACCTGTTGAGTATATTGACCCCAATATATGAGGGAAAGACTCCATCAGTACATTGTCTTAGTGTTAATATGTATTCCATGTGTTTATTTAAATTTATTAAGTAAACAAATACTACAATTCATACCTAAATATATAAACAGGTATTAGTAATATTTATTTCTCCATGTGAAGTTGTATAGTAATTTTGCTTATGATGAAATTAAGGTTAATATTGACGACTGACCTGCCAACGAGTTATTTGTTTTGGGTGTTTATTTTCTTACTCTTTAATAACAATCAGCGGTCATGTAAAGGGTCCGACTAATTACCCAAATGTAGCCGCAATGAAGTCAAATAATGGTCCTACATGAATAAATCGGGTTACTAATCACTTCTCGACTAGTATTTGGTGTCACAAAGTAAAAAAAAATTGGAAAACGTAATTTAATCTGAGTTAATAGATCAAGTGCATGTACCTAACCTAATCTAATCTAACCTAACCTAACCTAACCTAACACAACACAACACAACTCAGATTTAATTAAGTTTACCAATTTTTTTTTTACTTTGACACCAAATAATAATCGAGAAGTGATTCACAGCCCGAATTACGCTTGTACGACCATCATTTGACTTCATTGCGGCTACATTTGGGTAATTCCTCGCTCCGTCGGTAGATGCACGCGATCTATTAATTCAGATTAAAGTAAGTTTTCCAATTTTTTGTGACTTTGTGACACCAAATACTAGTCGAGGTTAGGTTAGGTTAGGTTAGGTACATGCACTCGATCTATTAACTCAAATTAAATTACGTTTTCCAATTTTTTGTGACTTTGTGACACCAAATACTAGTCGAGGTTAGGTTAGGTTAGGTACATGCACTCGATCTATTAACTCAAATTAAATTACGTTTTCCAATTTTTTTTTACTTTGTGACACCAAATACTAGTCGAGAAGTGATTAGTAACCCGATTTATTCATGTAGGACCATTATTTGACTTCATTGCGGCTACATTTGGGTAATTAGTCGGACCGCATGTAAACAGTACTAAGCTTAAGCCAACGAGTTGTTAATCCTTGGAACAACTTAACACAAGAGGCAAGAAATACTATCAATGCAGGTAACTAGTGCTCACCTGGGTGTTCATTTGGTAAGTTCTATGGCTCTTTGGTAAGATTATGGTCTGTGTTCTTATTTCTAATTATGTGGCAGACATACGATATTTAGATTTACACGTTCATAACATTTACATTACATATACCCACTCATTAGTTTCTGATCATTGTCTGTAGTTGCTCATGTCTACAAATATGTTCGATATTTAACGTGATATTTAGTAACTTTTAAAATCAGATGTCATTACTGCCAAATAGTCAGTAATCATGGAATAATTCTTGCTTCTCTTTCATCGTAATCATCAGTTTTTGAGTACAGTACTGTATTGT